TTGGGCTCAAATGAAAGAGCGGCTCGAGAAATGGCGTGCTAGGGCCTTTAAACATGACAAATGTCTCTAAAGATGATGTCTGTTTTCAACTGAAAAGCGCAATTGTAACAACATCGTCCAGTGGGGTCTAGGAATCTCCCCCGGTTCAAAACCATCTTTAGAGGCATCAGCATACCATTTTTCGAGCCGCTCTTTCATTTGAGCCCAAAAAAACATTCATATCTTGTCTGATATCTCTGCTACAAACTCGGGTCTTCAACTCGGGCCTTCAATTAAAAGCCCGAGTTGTAGACCCGACTTTGTAGCAGCGATGTCAGACAAGATATGAATGTTTTTTGGGCTCAAATGAAAGAGCGGCTCGAGAAATGGCGTGCTAGGGTCTCTAGACATGACAAATGTCTCTAAAGATGATATCTGTTTTCAATTGAAAAGCAGAGTTGTGACAACATTGTCTAGGAGGACAATGGGGTCTAGGAGTATGTATAGAACATTGGGGTCTAGGAGTCTCCCCTGGTTCAAACCCATCTTTAGAGGCATCAGCATACCATTTTTCGAGCCGCTCTTTCATTTGAGCCCAAAAAAACATTAATATCTTGTCTGACATCGCTGCTACAAAGTCGGGTCTACAACTCGAGCTTTTAATTGAAGGCCCGAGTTGAAGACCCGAGTTTGTAGCAGAGATATCAGACAAGATATGAATGTTTTTTTTGGGCTCAAATGAAAGAGCGGGTCGAGCAATGGCGTGCAAATGTCTCTAGAGATGATTCTTTAACCAGGGGAGACTCATAGAGCCGACTGGACAATGTTGGTACAACTCTGGTAGGAGTCTCCCCTGGTTGGGAGATCACCCTTAAAATCATTGGCACTATATTTCGACACGCACTCCTGCACTCGGACCCCACTAGACAAATATGAATATCGTTAAGGAAAACGGTACATAAAATGTAAAAAACTATTCATTTCATCTCTTATTTGCGTTTAGGCAAATATTTATTTCATTTTTTATTGCGTTAATATATACTGATATTCGTATTCGAGAAAATTGTTTATTAGTCTACCAATTGATTGATATCAATTGATTCGATGTGTCTAGCTTATTGTCTAGATTTAATTTGAGAAGTAAAAGTTGAGGGTCCACGATCTCCCTATATCCACGGTCAAAGTTACCATGGAGCGTGTGAATAGACACTGCCAAAGAATAATTCAATTAAGGAATAGTTGAATGCAGCCGAAACCCATTATTTCTGGATGACTGAGTCATATTTTTTTGTATTTATTAAATACCATCAATAGAAAAAATAATTGATCACATGATTACACACGAGTAATATTATTGAAAAGTGACATAATCAGTACAATTTTTATTTTATCATTTATGGAATATTCAATGGAAGTAGGAATCGCCCAGAAACTGACCTGTTTATTCTATCATTTGTCATTTGAAAATTTGTGACGCGATTCAAATTATATGTCTATGAGTGTGACAGCCAATATTCGCAGAATGGTCCGCCATCGACCTCTCCGACCATCGACGACAACTTCTGCCGATGCGAACACTTATCGACTGAGCAACGTAACCCAAAACAAGTAGATCCCTCAATTTTGCCAGTGCAGTTGAAATATCATCATAAAAATTCGTATATTTCCTCGTTCTTCCACTCCACTAAAGTATTTTTACTTTACAAAATACGTGTAAGTGCATCTTAATCAGAATTAATAACAAAAGGTGTTCAATTGCCTCCATGAACAGATAAGTGAATAAATTCAAGGCATTTCCTGAGTTAACCTCATTGAATATAAATCATGACTGATTACTAATGAATCTGGATTTAATTTAGGCAGTAATTATTGAAAAATGAGTTACCACCGAGGTGGTGGGAATAAGCCAAAGGGCTTTGGCTTCACTGGCTTCCAGATGTCAGGGACAAAGAGGACTGGAGCCAACATCCCACCCCCATCGACAAATCCCTCATTGAGCAAGCAGGGATATCATACTATGAATTCCATCACTGAGAATGCACTCTCTGCATGCTGGGGCATGCCAAAGAAACGAAGCAAGACTGAAGAAGAGTGAGTAACATAACATTCGGTCAGTAATTCCCTAATGGCGTGAAGAGTCGCCCAATAAATGCAATAAATTTTCAGTAATTGTTCTTTTATTCACTGAATAATTTCTTATGCAACTCAACAACACCTCTTTTTGACAGAAAATGTCAAAAGTCATGAGTAAAGGGGATTTTGCAATATTTTCCTCTGAAAATACTAAACTATTGAGATAACTCAGTGGTTAACAGGATATTAAATACTGATTGTTCTGCACTGTTACGATTTGTCAATTCAATATCTTGTTTATCCCATTCATTCAATGCTTTCTAACTTATTTTGTGGAGTAATATCAAGAAAATGTCTTCTCCAATTTTTCTTAGACATTACTCATCATGAATATTATTTGATTAATAAGCAAGATAGTGTGGATTGACTATTATGTCCTATTCCAATTTATCACTTCACTTACTGATGAATCTCCTCCATTTATGTGCTTAATTAACAATTCAATATTCGGGTTCATACAAAATCCCGAGATATTTTGAGGACAATGACACACCTGTTCTTCAGTCCTTAAAAATTGCTCATCATGAAGATTATTCAATTGCTGAAAAGATATTGAAAATAGTTTCTGTTTTCTCCTATGCCACTTTATCGCTTCATTTATTTATAAATCTCCTGTATTCATATGTTCAATTGTCAATTTAAAATATCAGAATCAAAAAAATATCCTCATGTACTTTGAGGAGATCAACGAATCAGGATAAAAATATTAAGAGACTTTCTGTAGCTATTTAGATTCCCAATGGAACATATTTCATTTTTTTTTCTCTTGAATCCCTATATAATCCTCATCAAGATGATTCAATGAATAACGAAATATCGAAGCTTATCTTCCACGTACTAAATCACAAATTTTATCACTAACCCATACAAACCATCTCCCAGATATTTCGAAGACGACGACGAAGCTCAGACATCGACCTTGGAGTACATTCCAGCCCCAGGCTCCCCAACCTTCGATCGAATGCAAAAAGAGCAGAGGAAACAAGCAGACAGTGACAGCGAGGAGGATCCACTTGACGCATTCATGGCTGGTATCGATGCAGAAGTAAAAAAGAACAATACTAAAGCAGCACTAGCTGAGGAGGAGCTCAAAGAGGACAAATCCAAAGGATTCAGGCAAGATATTGACGGAGAGGATGACGAGGAGAGCTATTACAGGTACATGGAGGAGAACCCAACAGCTGGTTTGACCCAAGAAGAGTCCGACCAGGAGATTGAGTATGACGATGATGGGAATCCAATAGCCCCAGCCAAGAAGAAGGAAATTGACCCACTGCCCCCCATAGACCACAGTGAGATAAAGTACGAAGCATTCGAGAAGAATTTTTACAATGTTCACGAGGAAATCGCTAATTTGACGAAAGCTCAGGTCGAGGAGTTGAGGAAGACCCTGGGGATAAGGGTATCGGGGCCCTCAGTGCCCAAACCAGTCGCCAGTTTCGGGCATTTTGGGTTCGATGATGCTCTCATCAAATCAATTCGCAAGAGTGAATACACACAGCCAACTCCAATCCAATCACAGGCGATTCCTGCTGCACTCAGTGGGAGGGATTTAATCGGCATTGCCAAGACAGGAAGTGGAAAGACTGCTGCATTCATCTGGCCTATGCTGGTGCACATTATGGATCAGAAGGAGCTGCAGGAGGGGGATGGACCCATTGGCTTGATCCTTGCACCCACGAGGGAATTGTCACAACAGATCTTCCATGAGGCTAAGAAATTTGGCAAGGTCTATAATATTCAGGTTTGCTGCTGCTATGGGGGCGGCAGCAAGTGGGAGCAGAGTCAGGCACTTCAAGCGGGGGCGGAAATTGTCGTTGCCACTCCTGGCAGGATGATTGACTTGGTGAAGATGAAGGCTACTAGTCTGAGCCGAGTCACGTTCTTGGTTCTTGATGAGGCTGATAGGATGTTTGACATGGGGTTCGAACCGCAGGTTTGCTAATGTTTTATTTATTTTTTTGGGTAATTTATTTTTTACTGACTCGGATTTTATGTGATAGGGACATTGGGTTTTATTTCTGTGAATTTGCGGAAATTTCCAGGGCTTTTGCTGGGGATTTTAATTATATTATAGTTTCACTGAAATTTCAAAAAATTTAATAATTGGGAATTCCGAAAATTATGAAAAAATTAATGAACACGGAATTTCAGTTCAATTGTTCCGTGAAAATTAATAGAAATGTTTTATTCCATGTAATGCGTGATCTCCACTGTTTGAAAAATTGATTGGTACAAATTTTCGGTACATTTTCTGAAAGTTTAATTACATCATGGTTTCACTGAAATTTTAAAGGATTTCGTCATTGGAAATTCAAGTAGGTTGAGGGATTCTCGCCTTCCTACTGTTCAATATTTACAAATTTCATTGAATTTTTAGAAAAATTCCAATTTTTTTTCCAACACTGTGAGCACAAATCAATTACATCCTCCTCGATTCTTCAAATTAAATATAATTAATAACTTTATAATATTCTAATTATTTTAATTGTTTCTGCAATACAATGCCATTGTAAAATCTCAAATCATTCATCTCGCACTCAACCGAATTATTAATAAAATAAACTTATCTCTCACAGAATTAATCAAATGAATAGTATATAAAAATATTTCTTCACGAATACCTTCAAATAATGTTTTTCACAGGTTCGATCAATCTGCAATCACGTGCGTCCCGACAGGCAAACTCTCCTCTTCAGTGCGACATTCAAGAAGAAAGTCGAGAAACTAGCACGAGATGTTCTAACAGATCCAGTGAGAATAGTCCACGGAGACGTCGGAGAGGCGAATACCGATGTGACCCAACACGTGATAGTATTTAACAATAATCCGACTGGAAAATGGATCTGGTTGCTCCAGAATATCGTGGAATTCTTGAGTTCGGGTAGTTTACTGATATTCGTCACAAAGAAATTGAATGCTGAAGAGTTGGCGAATAATCTGAAGCTGAAGGAGTTCGAGGTGATGCTGTTGCACGGTGACATGGACCAGATCGAACGAAATAAAGTGATAACAGCTTTCAAACGAAAGGAAGTGAGCATTCTGGTGGCCACAGATGTGGCAGCTAGAGGTCTCGATATTCCCCATATCAGGACAGTTGTTAATTATGATATTGCGAGGGATATTGATACGCATACGCATAGAGTTGGTAGGACAGGTCGAGCTGGTGAGAAGGGAACAGCTTATACCCTCGTCACTGAGAAGGATAAGGAGTTCTCGGGGCATTTAGTGAGGAATCTTGAGGGGGCTAACCAGGAGGTACCAAAGAGTCTAATGGATCTGGCTATGCAGAGCTCGTGGTTCAGGAAGTCCAGGTTTAAGGGGGGAAAGGGAAAGAGTTTGAATGTCGGTGGGGCTGGACTGGGTTTCAGAGGACGACCTGAGGCGTCTGCCCCGAAGAGTGGGTCGTCTGTACAGCCGCCCAAGGACATCAGCGAGGTGGTGAAAAAATTGGAGAGACAGGGGCCGGGGAGTGATCGTCTTTCTGCCATGAAAGCAGCTTTCAGAAGTCAATACACGTCACAGTTCAGGGCGTCTTCGGATCACACTTGGGAGCAGACGATCACTCCTCCCTCGCTTATTATGCCACCACCACCTCCACCATCAACGTCAGGCGCTGCAGAAGGTTATCCTGGTGGTGATGGATCCATCCCTCAAGATACTTCAAATTCCAGTCAAGGTGGCTCAGAACGGAAGCGAGTGAGAAAGAGCCGGTGGGAGTAATTAATTAAGAGTGTTGATTAAATAATTCTATTGTATCGTGGTGTATTGTGAATGTAATGATATAGATTATTGATTGAAATCGAAGGTTTTTTTTTATCTCGATTAATAAATATTGAAAGAGTAATTTTAATTTTACCCCTGAAATTTTTTCATTCACCTTCATCCGATGAATCACACATCTCTTTCGAAAGATAAATTTTTATTGAATCAGTACATAATTACTACATTGTAATTGATATTATTTACATGCGAGACCTCATGTATTAATTACCAAGGATAATTGTCATGGATGGTAATTAAGGAGAATTCATTTTTCAAAATTCAAATGAATGTTAATGAGAAATTACTGGATTGGGTTAATGAACGTATCTACAAAATACAGGAGAATAACATCCAATGAATGATTTACTAGAGATTTAGCATTCACCAGGAGACCCCCAAACTCGTTGACATGAGAACAATCTCAAGAACGAGGCAATGGGAAATCATTAGCAAATCATTCAGGGCGCCGCTATTTTTCCCACTAAATAAATCGAAGGTGATCTTCGCGAAGTTAATGTTTTAGTCAATCAGAAGGTAATAACACCAAATAAATCGATAAATCATGAATTTGAATAATTTTATGTCATGCATTTGCTATAACGCTCGTAATAATTCAAAGCCATAAACTCGTAATGGACCACTTATCAAAATAACACGTAATTTCTTCACACCAAAAAAACTCGCCATAAAACTACAGAATTATTTCATGAATAAAGAAAATCATAAAATTACCCGCAAAATGTAATTCACTGGTCTCATTGTGGAAGTGATCATTAATCATTTTCAGATGCCGGAAAGATTGAGTTGATTGTGCACACACGTGTACAATAGTCTGGCAAGGGATTACCTTGCTGTTTCCTTACACGTGATGGAGCATATTCAAGGCCATGTTAATCAGCACAAAGAATTCATCCCACGTTTTGTGGAGACGCCAGATATGCTCCACTAATTTTTCATTACATATTTCAATTGAATCGTCAGGAGAAAATGAAATTCCCGAAAGGGAAAAACTTGGTCTAGTGGAGACCCACTACAACTATAATAAACGAGTTTGCTTAAAAATAGTAAAACGCTATGAAATAAAAATTAAAAAAATGATAACGAAATTTCATAGATAAACCTAGCGAATTCGATAGAAAATTCTATTAGATTTCTTTTGAACTTTCTATTGGTTTTGGAGCGATTCAATTGAAACGTTCCGAAGCTTACCTGCGCGTTTTTTTTTTCAATGAAAATATTCAATGGAAAAAATTTTGAAGAAAAGTTCGGTAGAATTTAATTTTTCTGTACAATTTAGTCTATTGAGATATTTTCTATGGAAATTCCTCGGCTCAAATTTTCTAAGCTTTTTTGTTTGTTTTTTTTTATGAAAAGAAGATGAATTGAATTTAAAAAATTGGAAAATTTATGTGGAGGGATTCCTACAGAAAATTTTGCATAGAAATATGAAATTCTATTGATTTTTACAAAAAAATCTTCTATTGAACTTTTCCATACAAAAATGCCCAGTGAAGCAACGAAATTTTTTAATAGAATTTACCAAAAACCAATACAAGTGTCAATAGAAGTTCAATAAATTTATCTATTGAATCAACTACATTACTCAATGAAAGTTTTTCGTGCGTGTCACGATTGTCATCAATCGTCTGTAAGTTATAGTTCAATCAATTGTCAGATCAAAGGGATCAAAATCCTCGTAAAAACCGGTTTCTAAAATAGAGACATAAAACGTTATATATAACGTACGAAATAAATCAAGGGAGAGAATCTAGATCGAGGCTTTCCAGAAAATATCACCGAGTCGACGTCGATTATTTGTTTGTCCCACAGGGCCCATGAGTATAAAAAACGAATAATATATATATATAAAAAGCGCATATGGTACCGGCTCAGTCTTAATGAAGAAATAAGAATTCAATTTAAAGAGAGATCTCCATGTTGAAAGATAATGCAACTCAGGATCCATTTTGTGGCATATTTGGACTGCTCTTTCTCCTGGTTTTATCAGTCTGCTGTGTTGTCAATGAATTTATGGCTTTTCGGTCGCTGTTTTTGCTGGTGAATTTCTCCATTGCACGTGTGTAAGAACCAGTGCAGACTTTCCCTCTTATTCTTCTCTCCTCGGGCGTCAACGGGACTTTTTTAGTCTCCAATTTATCTGAGTATGGTCTTGAGCTCTCGCAGGTGGTGGCCACCTTCCTCTGGGATTTTCCGTCATCCTTATCCCAGGAAACCCCAGACAATTCCGATTGGCCACTGGAAGGAGTCGGTGAACTCCTCTCACTCGACGAAGAACTCGATCTAGTCAACGAGGGATTTCCCTCGGCTTTGTCATCATCCTCCTTACATTGAGTTACGATCACCACCGGAGGCTCACTCTTCGCCCTGCTCAATCCATTGTTATTCGTGTCACTATCCCCCGGTGAATTATCGTTCACAATGATCTTGGTTATCGACGTTCTCTTCCTCAGCTTCTCCAGATTCTCCTTTTGGGCCGTTTGACTGCCGTCAGACCTCTGAAGGATATCCTTCAGGTTCACTGAATTATCCTGATCCTTCTGGGCTTTCGAAAACTTTGAGGGCTCATCACGAGGGCTCATCATCTCCGGATATATGTAGTTAGGCAGTCGTTCCTTCTGATAGGACGATCTTGGGATTCGAGTGGTTGCGGATTTCTGCGCTTTATCGACAGCTTTTTCGTTCTCGTTGTTAGATTCTTTAGTTATCTGCCCGGATCTAGCAATATTAACGCAGTGCTTGTATTTCTCGTCGATGGTAGTGTCCCTGTTCTCGAGTGTCTCGTCCCCTCGACCTGGGAATTCTTCAGACGACCAGTGGATCTCTTCGCTCTTAATCTCTGAAGCCTCAACTGTCGAATCCCCTTGACTCTTGTCTTCAATCCTCTCGCTGGTCTCAGACTCCTCGTCGTCCTCATTCCCCGAGTCGTTGTCGAAGTCCTTGATCAGACCCTCGTTCTTCTCATTCTGTTTCCTCAACTCCTCCCAGTTCTTCCTGGGCTTGTAACTCGTCTTCCGCCTGACGATTCCACGCTCCGTGATGTTTATGTCTGGAATGAAGAGTCTTAGAGCTTTTGGACCAGTTGGAAAAGTCACCTCATTCACTCGTTTCTCGATCATTATCGCTTCTAGACTAGTTTTCGACGCCACTTCTTGATGTTTGTTGAAGGCGGATACTAGTTGCGCGACGGAGTACTTTGGCTCGTCGTTCTCGAAGTCAGAGTGCTCGTCCTTTTCGTCGGAATTTCCGGAGTTGTTGGAGTGGGAGGAGATGTTCGAGTGCTGACGATGCGAGGGTTGTCTCACTGATAGTCTGTTCTTATCTACGGGCGTCTCATCGGAGTCCTCAGTTAAGGTGTCAGACTCCACTGATTGCAGGCTGTCGAGGTTCTCCTCAGCCTCAGACGTCGAGTCTTTCACGTTAACTTCAACGATTTTGTCGGTAGACTCTTTCACGATCGTTTGATTCTGGGATTTGTCCGCTTGCAGCTTTTTATTTTTCGAGTCGTCTCTGTCTTCTGGACGTTCACGTCTTGATTGTGGAATTTGAGGGATTTTTACCGGTTCTTCGGGATTATCGATGGCCCCAATCGATGTCGACAAGGCTTCAGACCCTAGCTTATTGAAAATAGGGAGATCTTCAGTGACCGATCGCTGATTCTTCTTCTTCGTCTTCCTAGAGTTCCGGAGGCACTCGAGGCTCCTGTAGATGTCCAGAACCCCTTGAGACTTGGACAGACATTTCAATCCGTAAAGTTTCTCCTGAGATCTACTACCGAACAAGGGATTCATGTGCTCCTTTTGTAGCGCTGTCTTTCCGCTGACGAGACACGCTTGTGACTGAATCTGATTGAGACTGCGCATTCTAGACAGGAGTCCCCTGCGTGTTACGTGATTGAGATTCGCTTGGGATCGACTCTGCGCCTGATTCAGGAGTCCTTGGGTCTGTTCCTTGTTGAGAAGGTAGCTCTGGCTCGCTGCGAGACTAGCTTGACTCGTTGCTAAGCTGTTTTGAGAGGAGGTCAGGCTCGTCTGCGAGTCGGCAGGACTCATGTAGCATTCGCTGCTCGTCAAGCTTCCTCGGCTTCCTGTTAAGGACAGGTTTAGGCACATCTCACTCTGACTGAGGTGGCTGCTGAAGCCAGGGTCGACTGTCGCTTCGGTCAAATTGGCGTGACTGGTGGCTTGGCTCAGGAGAGCCGCTCGGCGGAGATTTTCACGGCTGACTACGCGCTCCAGGAGAACCTCACGGGATTTTGAGAGGTATTTTCGGAGGTGTGGAGATGCTTGGGTTGGCGCACCTCGGAGCCACTCGTGGCGCAGGCATTGCTTCGCTGACATCCGTGCACTAGAGGAGGATTTTAGTCGGTTAAAACAATTTTTTAAGAATTCAATAGCCGTATGGGAATGAGATGAAGCAATTTCATTTGGGTTTTTGGTGAATTTTATGTAGAGAAATTTTACTGAGATTTTTTGAGAATTTGTGTAGTTGAAGTGATTCGACTGTTTGACTTGATCCCTCAGATCTTCAGAAGGCACTGAAAATGTTAAGGGGAAATGAAGTCATCTTGTTTCATCAGACGTATGAAGAAATTCAAGAGACAAACCTAAACTTTCACATGGGAATTTCAGAAAAATTCTGGGGGAATTCTGTCGGAATTCGCTTCGAATGCTACACTCGTTACGATCCCCAACAAATCAGTAGCGAAGTGGCAAAACGGTACAAGTCAATTTTGACTATTGACCAGTTTTCAATGAATATCTCGGAATCTAAGGGAGATAACAAAATTTTTCTTATAACCTTTTTCGTAGAGCCGATTAAGAGCTACAATAAATGTAATTACGAAAATTTCGCTATCTCCCTTAGATTCCGAAATATTTCTCAAAAACTCAACTGGGAGATAAGTCGACTTAAACCGTTTTACCACTTCGCCACTGAAATGATTTACATGATGAAAAATTAATCGCGTATAAATTATTTATGGAAAATACTCGGAATTGAAAAAAATTCCAATGTTTTAATTATTTCATCGATCTTCTTGATTTCATCAATTCTTCATTCGTCAGATCACTAAACTATTAATACAAATAGAAGGTAAAAGTGATTTTACGTATGCACCTTGGGTCAAGCACGAGAAGACTGGCGACAAAGTCCTTCGCCTGTGCTGAAATATCTTCGAAGAGTTCCTCCGGGAAGTCCACCTCTCCCAATGAAATATTCTGAAAAGTCTCTTGATCCGTCTCACCACCAAATGGAGAGAATCCAGTGAGAAGTACATAAGTAGTTACTCCAAGGGACCACATGTCTGCAGCTAGGGTTATTGGCTCGTAGTGTAGGATTTCAGGAGCTGTATTCAATCGTTCAAATCATTCATCCCTCCAAAATGCACCTCTCAATAATTTTTCAACTCACCAACATAATCCGGTGTTCCCAGAATCTCCCGCACTTCCGTTCCCTCAAGCACTACCCTTGATATCTCAAAGTCACAGAGTTTGACATCGCACTCAGGGAAACTCCCCATCATCACAAGGTTCTGAGGCTGCGGTAGAATATAAAAAAAATTAATTACCCGATAAAAATGGTATCGTTCGATCATTGATTTCAATTTTCTCGGTATAAACTTAAGGTAGATACGAGTGGGGCAATTAAATGGGGACGAAAGTCTCGAGAATCATTGAAAAGGGAAAAATGCGTTGCGTATAGGCCTGACCAATACGGATAATCACCACTCGTGTCAACGTCGTTATAAGCTATTAACCGAGTTTTTGAATCAATGTGTCAATTCCAGTGACATTAATCGTAATTCCCTTGAGATATATGGAAGTGAGTGGAGTAATTGGTGGAGTCATGGCTTCTGTATTACACAAACAACATTGATATCAATGTTAATGCACCTTAATTAATGGGGGAGTTTTAATACTGAATATAAATACATGGAAAGATATAAATTTATGGGATTTCAATGTTGGATGATAAACATTTGCGTGTAAATATTGGTATTGATGTTCACTGTTAGAAATTTTTGGTTGACATCCACTCAAAATTTTCATGAGACCATAGTTCCAATAAATTTCAAGGATCTTGTCATTGAAAATTCAAAATTTCGTGGAAAACTCGATGAAAATTGTAAATTTCAGTTGCATTATTCCATGAAAATTAATAGAAATCAAGTAAATATCGTTGTGAAGTGTCAATTAATTGAAAAATCAGCCTAGTTTTCTAGTAAATATTCATGTTTTAATTGAAGATTCGAGTATGTTGGGGGATTAGCGTAGTCTTGCTACTGAAAAATTTGGAAATTATGGCCATTTCAAGGAATTTTATCAGTGAAAATTCAAAATTTCATCGAAAACGGCGTGGAAGGTGTAAATGTCAGTTCAATTGAAAACTTACGGTAATTTGATGATGAATATTTATTTTTCGATTGAAAATCAAAGTAAATTGGGGAATCCTCTTCTTCCTGCTGCTTAAAAATTGAGAATTTTATTGAATTTTCAGTAAAATCCGATATTTTATTAATTTTTCTTTGTAAATAGAATTCAATAATGCTCTTTTGAAAATTATTAGTCAACTGTCCATGAAGTTTCAATTTGTTTATAACAGTATTTTTTCATAACAGGCAATATGGAGACTTGGCTTTTCAAAAAACGTTAATAATTAGCTCAGCCTCTCCTAAGTGTGAAAAAAGGTAAATATCGTGTGCAGATTTGCATTTTTCCACCCAAAAGGCCATAATTTTCATTCACACTCTACTTTCTGTCCTCGAAATATTGCGGAGGCAACTCGTGCGTTTCCCCACTGGCGCCCCAGCATCTCGTAATTTTATTTATCTCTTTCATTTTTTCACCTATCATGTCTCGCACGTCTCGTTCACTTTCCAATGTTCTTAATATAGACCGTGTTATCAAAATTTATGTGTCATTCACATGATCTCTGCACGCTTCACTAATCGAGTCATTCCCCGATCGTAGAGACACCTCAGGGGGCTAGACTACTAATTTATTTTTCATTTAGACGTGACTCAAAAAGTGGCTACTCCAGCAGCACAGGTTTTTTATATTCTTCATGGCCCCAGCGACGTGGGAACTTCACGGATTTTGTCAGTTTGATCGATACAGTGAAAGCAATTTTTTGCGAATTATATCAAATTAATATGTTTCGCCCCATTCTCACTCAATTATTTATTCCATATTTGTGGAGGTGATTAAGGGGAATACGACAGTGATGAAGAATTTGTGTCAAGATGTTTAATTGTTTCTCGTTAGCATTTATATCTTATCTCAGCAATGACGAAATCAAGAATTATTGCAATTTTTCATTACGAGTGGAGGCATAATCTCATGAAGAGTTTGAATTTTTCAGTAGGAAAATGGAAAAAATTGAAAATTCGGAAATCGTCTTCATGAATATATAAATATATAAATATAAGAATCTGAATAGAATGAGGAATTGTTCTGATTACTGTGATATGAAGGAAACGGACGGTCTTTTGCACCTCATTCTTAGATGCCCTTTTTGTAATGATCTCAGATCCAAATTCTTCCCCAAATGTTCAATTTCACTACAGGATTTTTCACGTTTGGAGAACTTCTTTGAGGAAAAAAGACACAATTCTGACATTTAGTTCACTCAGTGTCTCTTGTAAATAACTATACATTTCATATAGCCAATGTAAATATCCTCCACAAGCAGATATTTTTATAATAAATATCCTAAAAATAGTTCTATAGGTAAACGAAGGTACAAATTATGGTAATTTAATAGCAAATTGTAGTTTTTCCTGTAATTACTCCCCCTCTGCAATGGAACATTGTATCCTTATCCATTAATAAATAATAATAATAATGAATATATAAGTATTCAATCCATTCCTGTAGACAAGTTGGATAAAACTGACCTAGAAAATCGTGACAAATTTTACTACAGCGAAGGGTAATCGTGGAGCGAAATGTAATTCAATGAAAAAATATCTGTTTGTGGAGGATATTTTCATCACACTATCCGTTAAACGCTGTTTGCAGACATTGTGAAGAAAAAATATTTTTGCCATATATTCATTTACTTGAGAGAAGCGTTTATTGTTTCAAAATCCTATTTCTCCAATTGAGTCACTTCGAGACGAGCATGATTAGGTTTCAATTATGACAATCATGTTGTTCTAGAGGATGACTATGTTGAATACGGTCTTGGATGAACTTCTCCAATGATTATTCATTTGCCTCCATTTTCTAGAAGCAAGAATTTCGATTAATTTTCGAATGCTTACAATTATTGAGGGAGTTCACTGAAGCTTGTAAGTAACATGATCATCTTCGAGAGCAATATAATTGTCATAATTAAAACTTAATGAGAATTGCCTGGGAAATACTCGACTGGAGAAATACGGAATTGAAAAAATAAATACTTCTCTCAAGGAAATGGATATTTGGCAAAAATGATTTTTTTTTCTCAGTGTGTAATCTGATATTTCATAAATTTTTCTGCAACAAATGGTTGAATTCCCCAAAAGATCCTCCTCTACGAAATCATATAGGTAAAATTCACGCCAACTGTTCATTATTACCACCATTAAAATTTAACATTATGAAATTAATTGTTGAATTTCAATGAAATACAAGTTAAAATTATCGTTATGTGTGGGTGTCTGGAGGCAGTCTTTCGTGCCTTGGTGTCATCGAATGAAATTTAAGCGATCAAGGATACCACACAATAAAGAATTCCAATCAATTTAGGGTCTTCCAACCTTAATATGCAACGCAGTTGAGCCTTGGAATCTGTCTACATCAGCTGTGCCATCGTGGGCGACAATTTGAATATTCAATGTATCTTTCCTTGTTACAGGTACAGCAAACTATTCGTCGTTCAATAAATAATGACAAAACGCGTAAAAATAAATCTCAACGTGAACCACTCGAGTTTTATACTCAATGTGTGCACGAGAAAAAAAAACTGTGGATTATGCGCTCATTGAGGTTCGTTAGGCGGTAACATATGGCTAAGACCAGTTTTCCAACAGCGGTGGATAATAATACCAGTTATCACGGGAGTCATTCGGGGTAATAAATAATAACCCGCCTTTTCATGTTGTTTAATACGAGTGTTGGGTTTTATTTAATTTGATCATGTAATCCTCCCACGATAATCAAAACAGATTTTATTCAATTTTCATGGGACAGCATTTCAGAAGTGCGAATATACCAGAATTTATCAAAACACGAGATTCAGAAAAAAATTTTTAGCTGGATATATTGTGCTGGGTATTGTTATCTCGCGAGTTATCATTTGTGAATGCTGTGGAGGCTATTCTTGGCCCCTGGTATCGTTGATCGAACGGGGAGGAATGGTCTCTCCCGGGTTCTTTTGTCTGTGCGTGTGGAGAATACGAAGATTTCACCGGTTGTTTTCATCTTGTTGAGAGCGATTGGAGTGGGCCTGCTCCAGTTATAGCCGACAGGTAGGGTCTGTCTGGGGGAGAGCGAGGTATCAGGAAAACGTGATTCACCATCGCTGGACCTGGGGGAGGCGCTACATGAGCAACGGGTGCGGTCGTGATTCGAAAAGAAATTTTTTTTTCGGGTATCGTTGCAGATCTCGAGGGATTTCCGGAATTTAGTGGCTTGTTTTTGCTATACAATTTCAGGGTTTATGGGAAATTATGTTTTTGGAAAATCTTTGTGGAAAATTTTTTTTACTCTACTAATTTTTTAAATTTGAATCTATTGAGAATGGCAAAATTTCCATTGGGCGCTTTTTTGCATTTTTTTTTCTCTGAAAAAACGATTTCTGGAAAATCCGTGAAAGAACAAACAAAATAAATAAATTTCGAGTTTCAGTTTCTCCGAAATATCTTTGAATCTGCGATAGCGAAATGTTCATAAGAACAGTTTGCGGAGAGTTTATTTTTTTCTATAAATAAAGTCTTTCCAAACATTTAGTCATTTTGGTTAGACACTGAGGTGTTTCCCTTGGAAATGAACAGGTCTGAAGTCAAACTGGATGATTTTATTTCTTTCTATGACTCCATTATTGGATGATTTTGTTCATTTATATTTTTATAAAATAGTTGCATTATGTTCTGGGTTAGTTTGGCTCAACTAATCCCTGAAATAACAATTCTCACTTTCGTAAACTTTCACACATTGATTTAAAAGGCTTTTTGTAGTCGACCTCAACCGCATTATTTCCCCCTTGCCCTCCTAAAATGATTAATTTTCCCTCCAGTAATTTCTGCCAGGAGTGAAACTCAAAGTCTCATTCCACCGCACAATGTTAAATTTCTTTTTTTTGGGTACCGTTCTATTTCTTACGGGGTTTAATCAATTTAGCGGCTTGTTTTGCATTGCAATTTCATGTTTTATTTTGTGACAAATGTTTCGCAAATCTGAAAAAGATATTTCTGAAACAATGATGACGGGAAAACCTTCCATTACCATTACTTTTCATTACATTTTTCTCCTCCCTGCAAAAATATTTCTCTTCTCGCTTTAATTCCAAAAGTGATTTATTTTATTTACTTCTATTCCTTCATTACTAAACAAT